AAATTGCAGAGAGGAGATTTATTGGCTTTTTTAATGGCAGAAACAGAACAGGTGTGGTAGGGATGCAAATGACCAAAGTTTTTTTGGTACGGTAAAAAAGACACCTGATTAAATTCAAGACATTTATGACACAGACCGTAAAACCAACGTAGCATAAAATTACTTTTCAAAATCCGGTCACAAGAAATGCTGTCAACGATTAGAACAGTGAATCGAAAAATGCAGTTTGTAGATCAAGATCTTGAAGTCTCTACTGAATTTGCTAAATTCAAATGACAAAAACTGACGCAGAATTTAGATGTTTTGGGAAGTCATGCTGACCGTGCTGTTCAGATTCCAAAGAAGTTACCTAAGATGCCCATATCAACTTGGAATAATTCTCTCAGTTAAAAATGCTTAGTATTGCTCGACGGGTAGCGGTAGGAAGAATAAAGAAATTGAAGTTTATTCTTTAAAAACTTCTGAGAAAAGCAAGAGTCAGTAAATCAGTACTCATCTATTTTTACACATCATGATCCTTCATTACTTGTTTAAACAACAGCTTGCTCGACACCGATGGTAAGCAGAAAGCAAGCATATCTTTCTTGCACTGTTTCCTCGATGTTCCTTGCACATCTTCATGTCTTTTTTCAGAAATCTTGAATAACACTGGTTGGATGAATGCCTCAATAAACCACCCCTTTTACGCTATTGATTTGATGCCGGTATAAACCAGCGTCAACCTTTCTTAATCAGTCATTCAAACCGGGAATTTTGAAAATTTCAATTGCAAGGGTTTTTTCTAGCTGTTAGGGTAGTTTCCCTTCCTCTACATCAAACGTTTTTTGTAATTTAACGAAAGAAGTTGAAAAGGAAGGTCCCACCAAAAAGTCTGAGAAAACAAATGAAATAATTTCTGTAAAAAGTGACAAGTTTTTTATTTTTTTATCATCGCTTATTACAATAAACCTGTCATTCGTGTGCGTGTTTGTCGTTTGGTGAAACCTACGCATTTTTATCAGTCTCTGTGAACTAAAGTGAGCAATGGCGATCAAAATACGAAAGCCGGTGGCACATTTATGCAATTTCTAATTTTCAGATGCTTATTACTCTTTCTTCTGAATCAATAGAAGTTAAAATATAAAGTATCACAAATAACAATACTACTAACATTTCTGCAAAATTTTATCGCACAACAGTTCGTTAGTGTGTCAGATTTGTGCCCTTCAACAGTAATAAGTAGTTATATAAAATAACAGCAAGAACACATCGCGCTTTGCTTGTTGATCTTTTTCAAGCTTTTCCTAAAACCAATTTTGGTCTTTTTCTTTTTTTTTTGATTGAAGCTGGCTCCCTATGCCTGACAATTTTAAAATAAATTTTGAAAGAGCCAGATAAGCCTAAGTGTTCATGCTTACATCTGTTTACCACGATCCAACTTCAAATTGTTACTCTTACTAATTTCTGATATTACTTGGCTTTTTTTAAATACTCGTTAATATACCCTCATAGTAGTCTCATAGGAGTTAGGTTAGGGCTATCAGCAAGCTACTTAAGCACTTTAATTTCATTTCTTCCAGTCAGTTTTTGATGAGGCTAGATATGTTCTTAGGGTCAGTTAAAGTAAGTGGAAGATATCTATCTGCGTAATACAGGAAGGCATCCCTGATACATTTTGACAACTTGCTATAAATTCAGGATACCCTCACCTTAGAAAAGGAGATCGAACCTTTATGTTTCATAGCACCCAAACTATCACCAACCCTTTACACATGTTTGTTTGTTCTAAATGTACATCTAAAACTAGATTTTCCAGCTACTCTTCTTCTCACATGCATCTTATCACTACTGCCTTCGAAACAAAGTTTAGACTGATCTGTACGGTCTTACTCAGTCAACACACCCTCAAAAATATGTATTTTTGCAAAAAAAAGTAAGTGCTGTCTTTGATTTTCAGAGAAGTGAATAACATTTCCTTACCAAAAATGGCTAAGCAAGGGATTAATGATATCAGAAATAAAAAATAAAAAAACAAAACGGCGCAACGCTATTCTTTCTGGTATCTTCCCGGTCTGAATCTGTAGATGTATCTTTTGGTCTGGAGCATCCAAGCATACTGCCATTGAAAAGAGTGCTGGTAACGAAAAAAGCTTGAAATAGCATCAGGTTGCAATGGCGGCAGCGGCAGCGCATGTTGAAAGAAACCAACAGAATCGCACAGAGACTTCCTGCTCGTAATGTTGTATTCTTCTTAGTCGTTTTTTACGTCCACGCCATCTGGAGATATAAGAATGTTGAATAACACCATACTTTGAAGTGACATCTGATAGGCTTTGAAAACAATTGGTGCCGCTGTAACAGTTCCTCCCGAATTGGTTTGAGAAAATCTTTACTATTTGGATAGCCACTGTGTACCTTACTTATGAGATTGTATGGTGGCAAATGTAATGAAAAAAATGCTGACTTTCTTTTGCTTGCTGAAATACGTAGAGACGACTTTTTTTTCGAAGTTGGATGGTATAGGAGACGGCCTAAAGAGCGATCCAGCGAGATGACAAAGCGGATGTTCCATTTGTGAAATAAAAAAAAGTTGGAGAAAAATCGTATTAGAAGAGAAAGAAAGTGAACTTTTCTGTTGAAAATGACAACTGGATCCGAAGTAAACTGTGAGAAAAACGACATAATAAGTAAAGTTTAAACTGGAAAATTTTTAATACACTAAATGAATTAACTACATAAGAAACCTGATTCCAATCAAAACTGAAGTTTCCTCTGCTTCCTTCGAAACAAAAAAAAGGAAGGAACTGGAATGTGATTCTTCAGTAATTTTGCAGCTGTACGTACTAGTTAAACAGTAGGATTGTAGAAATCCTACATCACCCCACTATTGCTCTTTCGGTTTACTACATTTTACTGGAATTGTCAAACTGTTATTGCTAAGAATTTAAAAACAGCAGTACCTTTACAGATAAAACAGGTGCTTGGTAATTTTGCTGATCAGGCTTGTACGCAAATTGACTTTTCTTCCTGTGAATTTCCAGAGTTTTATTCAGATATGTTTCCAAATATAAGTCTTTGATAAGAACGATAGAAGCTTTTTTTTTCCAAATTCAATTTAAGCAGTTTTGTGATTTAGGATGTACGTGCGCTAAAAAACTATAAGAGCCCCTAAGCAACTATAATTCCGCAAAAAAATGTTGTAATTTGGAAGAGGGCGAAATTATGATAAAATATAATAATAAAAAAAGAAAGTTAAAACTGGGAATTTTTATGAACACTATGGCTGTCAAACTTTTCAAAGAAACAAATAGTCATAAGAAATAAAAACTTCTGAGAAATGGGCAGGAAAAACAGTGTGGAAAGGAAGGGCGGAAGGTGAAGGAGAAAGGAAAAGAGAAAAAATTTTAAGAAAGAAGTGGAGTGAAAAGGAAGGAAGAAGAGAAGTTGTTGGAGGAGGGTAAAAAAACAAGAAGAAATCCATATTTTACAACTGACTTTTATAACGGAATCTAATGTCCAACCACGGAATGTCAAAAAAGCACGTGCCGTTTATAGAATTAGAAATATGCAGACTTTTCAAATTAGCCTTTTGATTTTCACAGAAACAAAACGATATCATATATTAAAGATGCTAATTAAA